CTTGTTCTTGCTATTTTGCACTCGCTAGGCCCTTGTTCTTGCAATTTTGCGCATGCTAGGCACTTGTTCTTGCTATTTTGCACACGCTAGGGCCTTGTTCCTGAAATTTTCCACACGCTAGGCCCTTGTTCTTGCAATTTTGCACACGCTAGGACCTTGTTCTTGTAATTTTGCACACGCTAGGCCCTTGTTCTTGCTATTTTGCACACGCTAGGCCCTTGTTCTTACAATTCTGCACACGCTAGGCCCTTGTTCTTGCAATTTTACCACACTAGGCCCTTGTTCCTGCTATTTTGCACACGCTAGGCCCTTGTTCTTGAAATTTTGTACACGCTAGGCCCTTGTTCTTGCCATTTTGCACATGCTAGGCCCTTTTTCTTGAAATTTTGCACACGCTAGGCCCTTGTTCTTGCAATTTTGCACACGCTAGGCCCTTGTTCTTGCTATTTTGCACAGGCTAGGTCCTTGTTTTTGAAATGCTGCACACGCTAGGCCCTTTGTTCTTGAAATTTTGCACACGCTAGGCCCTTGTTCTTGCAGTTTTGCACACGCTAGGCCCTTGTTCTTGCTATTTTGCACATGCTAGGCCCTTGTTCTTGCTATTTTGCACTCGCTAGGCCCTTGTTCTTGCAATTTTGCACACGCGAGGCCCTTGTTCTTGCTATTTTGCACACACTAGGCCCTTGTTCTTGCTATTTTGCACACGCTAGGCCATTGTTCTTGCAATTTTGCACACGCTAGTCCCTTGTTCTTGCTATTTTGCACACGCTAGGCCCTTGTTCTTGCAATTTTGCACACGCTAGGCCCTTGTTCTTGAAATTTTGCACACGCTAGGCACTTGTTCTTGCAATTTTGCACACGCTAGGCACTTGTTCTTGCAATTTTGCACATGCTAGGCCCTTGTTCTTGCTATTTTGCACTCGCTAGGCCCTTGTTCTTGCAATTTTGCGCACGCTAGGCCCTTGTTCTTGCTATTTTGTACACGCTAGGCCCTTGTTCTTGAAATTTTGCACACGCTAGGCCCTTGTTCATGCAATTTCGCACACGCTAGGACCTTGTTCTTTCAATTTTGCACACGCTAGGCCCTTGCTCTTGCAATTTTGCACACGCTAGGCCCTTGTTCTTGCAATTTTGCACACGCTAGGCCCTTGTTCTTGCAATTTTGCACACGCTAGGCCCTTGTTCCTGCTATTTTGCACACGCTAGGCCCTTGTTCTTGAAATTTTGCTCACGCTAGGCCCTTGTTCTTGCAATTTTGCACACGCTAGGCCCTTTTTCTTGAAATTTTGCACACGCTAGGCCCTTGTTCTTGCAATTTTGCACACGCTAGGCCCTTGTTCTTGCTATTTTGCACATGCTAGGCCCTTGTTCTTGAAATTTTGCACACGCTAGGCCTTTGTTCTTGAAATTTTGCACACGCTAGGCCCTTGTTCTTGCACTTTTGCACACGCTAGGCCCTTGTTCTTGCAATTTTGCACACGCTAGGCCCTTGTTCTTGCTATTTTGCACTCGCTAGGCCCTTGTTCTTGCAATTTTGCACATGCTAGGCCCTTGTTCTTGCAATTTTGCACACGCTAGGCCCTTGTTCTTGAAATTTTGCACACGCTACGCCCTTGTTCTTGCAATTTTGCACACGCTAGGCTCTTGTTCTTGCAATTTTGCACTCGCTGTGCCCTTGTTCTTGCTATTTTGCACACACTAGGCCCTTGCTCTTGCAATTTTGCACAAGCTAGGCCCTTGTTCTTGCAATTTTGCACTCGCTAGGCCCTTGTTATTGCTATTTTGCACACGTTAGGCCCTTGTTCTTGCAAATTTGCACACGCTAGGCCCTTGTTCTTGCTATCTTGCACTCACTAGGCCCTTGTTCTTGCAATTTTGCACACGCTAGGCCCTTGTTCTTTCAATTTTGCACACGCTAGGCCCTTGTACTTGAAATTTTGCACACGCTAGGCCCTTGTTCTTGCAAGTTCGCACACGCTAGGCCCTTGTTCTTGCAATTTTGCACACGCATGGCCCTTGTTCTTGAAATTTTGCACATGCTAGGCCCTTGTTCTTGAAATTTTGCACATGCTAGGCCCTTGTTCTTGCTATTTTGCACACGCTAGGCCCTCATTCTTGCAATTTTGCACACGCTGCAAGACGCTGCACTTTCTGCACATGTGCGGCTCCTTCCGCGTTTTGGGAGTGGAAGCGCTCGTTCCGAGCATTTTTCTTCCGCCAGGTCACGTGGTTGAGCATGTCTGGTCCTATTACCAAGCCAGCGAGGACGTGGGAGGGTTGCAAGCATCATCGGTCATCGGCGCTCGCGAATGATGAGCGCCCACTGTACTTCCTGCACATATGAGGCTCCTTTCGCGTTTTGGGTCTGGAAGCGCTCGTTCCGAGCTATTTTTCTTCCGCCGGGTCACGTGGCTGCGCTAGTCTGGTCCTATTACCAAGCCAGCAAGGGCGTGGGAGGGTCACAAGCATCGTCGGTCATCAGCGCTCGAGAATGATGAGCGCCCGCTGCACTTCCTGCACATGTGAGGCTCCTTCCGCGTTTTGGGGGTGGAAGCGCTCGTTCCGAACGTTTTTCTTCTGCTGGGTCACGTGGCTGCGCATGTCTGGTCATATTACCAAGCCAGCAAGGGCATGGGAGGGATGCAAGCATCGTCGGTCATCGGCGCTCGCAAATGAAGAGCGCCCGCTGCACTTCCTGCACATGTGCGTATCCTTCCGCGTTTTGGGGGGTGGAAGCGCTTGTTCAGAGCGTTTTTTCTCCACCGGGTCATGTGGCTGCGCTTGTCTGGTCCTATTACCAAGCCAACAAGGGCGTGGGAGGGTTGCAAGCATCATCGGTTATCGGCGCTCGCGAATGAAGAGCGCCCGCTGCACTTCCTGCACATGTGAGGCTCCTTCCAGGTTTTGGGGGTGGAAGCGCTCGTTCCGAGCGTTTTTCTTCCGCCGGATCACGTGGCTGCGCTTGTCTGGTCCTATTACCAAGCCAGCAAGGGCGTGGGAGGGTTGCAAGCATCATCGGTCATCGGCGCTCGCGAATGAAGAGCGCCGCTGCACTTCCTGCACATGTGAGGCTCCTTCCGCGTTTTGGGGGTGGTATCGCTCGTTCCGAGCGTTTTTCTTCCGTTGGGTCAGGTGGGTGCGCTTGTCTGATCCTATTACCAAGCCAGCAAGGGCGTGGGAGGGTTGCAAGCATCATCGGTCATCGGCGCTCGCGAATAAAGAGCGCCCGCTGCACTTCCTGCACATGTTTGGATCCTTCCGCGTTTTGGGGGTGGAAGCGCTCGTTCCAAGCGTTTTTCTTCCGCCGGGTCACGTGGCTGTGCATGTCTGGTCATATTGTCAAATCAGCAAGGGCGCGGGAGGGTTGCAAGCATCATCAGTCATCGGCGCTCGAGAATGAAGAGCGCTCGCTGCACTTCTTGCACATGTGCGAGTCTTTCCACGTTTTGGGGGTGGAATTGCTTGTTCCGAGCGTTTTTCTTCTGCCGGGTCATGTGGCTGCGCTTGTCTGGTCCTATTATCAAGCCAGCAAGGGAATGGGAGGGTCGCAAGCATCATCGGTCATCGGCGCTCGCGAATGAAGAGCGCTCGCTGCACTTCTTGCACATGTGCGAGTCCTTCCACGTTTCGGGGGTGGAAGCGCTTGTTCCGAGCGTTTTTCTTCCACCGGGTTACGTGGCTGCGCTTATCTGGTCCTATTACCAAGCCAGCAAGGGCGTGGGAGGGTTGCAAGCATCATCGGTCATCGGCGCTTGCGAATGATGAGCGCCCGCTGCACTTCCTGCACATGTGAGGCTCCTGCGTTTTGGGGGTGGAAGCGCTCGTTCCGAGCGTTTTTCTTCTGCCGGGTCACGTGGCTGCGCATGTGTGGTCATATTACCAAGCCAGGAAGGGCATGGGAGGGTTGCAAGCATCGTCGGTCATCGGCGCTCGCGAATGAAGAGCGCCCGCTGCACTTCCTGCACATGTGCGGCTCCTTCCGCGTTTTGGGGGTGGAAGCGCTCGTTCAGAGCGTTTTTCTTCCGCCGGGTCACGTGGTTGAGCATGTCTGGTCCTATTACCAAGCCAGCAAGGACGTGGGAGGGTTGCAAGCATCATCGGTCATCGGCGCTCGCGAATGATGAGCGCCCGCTGCGCTTCCTGCACATGTGAGGCTCCTTTCGCGTTTTGGGTCTGGAAGCGCTCGTTCCGAGCGATTTTTCTTCCGCCGGGTCACGTGGCTGCGCTTGTCTGTCCCTATTACCAATCCAACAAGGGAGTGGGAGGGCTGCGAGCATCGTCGGTCATCGGCGCTCGCGAATGAAGTGCGTCCGCTGCACTTCCTGCAAATGTGAGGATCCGTCCGCGTTTTGGGGCTGGAAGCGCTCGTTACGAGCGTTTTTTTTCCGCCGGGTCACGTGGTTGCGCTTGTCTGGGCCTATTACCAAGCCAGCAAGGTCGTGGGAGGGTTGCAAGCATCATCTTCCATCTTCGCTCGCGAATGAAGAGCGCCTAATGCACTTCCTGCACATGTGTGGATCCTTCCGCGTTTTGGGGCTGGAAGCGCTCGTTCCGAGCGTTTTTCTTCCACCGGTCATGTGGCTGTGCTTGTCTGGGCCTATTGCCAAGCCAGAAAGGGCATGGGAGGGTTGCGAGCATCGTCGGTCATCGGCGCTCGCGAATGAAGAGCGCCCGCTGCACTTCCTGCATATGTGCAGGATCCTTCCGCGTTTTGGGGCTGGAAGCACTCGTTCCGTGCGTTTTTCTTCCGCCGGACTAGGAAGTTCGTGGACCAGGAAGTTAGCGGACCAGGCCATTAGGGGACCAGTCCTTGCACGCGCCTTCATGTGTACATGTGCGTTATGTAGCGAGGGTACAAAACAATTTGGAAGCAATACATTATCATACAAGAAGAAAGCATTCTTATTATTATTTTTAGCACCTTTGACATACAAAAGACGAGTCTTAAATGGCAATGGTGTAGTTATGCCCTACTTGCTCAAACTATGGTGAGCCAGAAGTCAAGCAGCGCCAGAACCAGATGGTGCTGTGGCCCCGCGGCGGCGAGAAGTGGGTAGAGACGGCAGGGCGTCGAGGAAGAACTTGACCAAATCATCAAGGCTCACTTCCTCCTCCGTCTTCAAATCTAGATGCCGTACCTGATACAAGCACGGATGTGCACAGAGAGACCAGAGGCACAGATTGACTCTCTCTCCATCTTTCACCCCTCCTCCCTTCCCTCCTATGTCTTCCCTTTCCTCTGTTCCTCTCCACTCATGTTCCCCTCTCTCACACTCAAAACAAAGGATGCACTCTTGCTTTCCACCCCCCTCTCACCTCTTCACCCTCACCCTCTTCCTCCCCCACCCGCACACCCTTGTGACTGCCTTACCAACCTCTCATGTGAGAGCGAGACGCACCTTGGCAGAGTGGGTGTGCAGGCCGGCATCGGTGAGAAGCACGAGCCACTTGATGCCGTGCTCGTGTGCGTGCTCATACTGCTCCGTCAGGCTGGGTGCCCGCACACTCACATACTCCGCCTGCCGCACATGCACCGCACATTGGGCAGTGGGGACAGGATTCCACGTTGTCACTATCAGCATATCATCCCTCACTAAACAGTGTAGTGTATGAAATCTTCCACTGCCCACCAGGAACGTTTTCCTGCCACCAAGAGCTTGTTTTATCCCCGCCGTTCAAAGCTACTACTCCAGCCGCCCATAGCTACCTTGATTCCTGCCGCCCACAGCCGCGCAGAAACTTCCATCCGCTCGCTGAGCAGCCCCGCCCCTCCCCTGGCGCACACGAGCACATCCACCGCTGCCTGCCTGCTCCCCCACACACACGCACAGGGGGGTGCGGGTGGAGGGGTGAGGGGAGAGTGGTGCAGGAGAGGATGAGGGAAGGAAAGTGATGAAGCAAAGGGTGTGCCAAGCAAGTGAGAGGGGTTGAAAGAAGTAGGTGGTGGAGCGAGATGCGTGTGAGCGGGCACCTGGAAGTGTGGTGGGTGGTTGGGTGTGACGGCGCCATGAGCTTGTGCAGCGCCACACTGAACCCCACCGCCCCACTCCCCCCCCCCACTGCCCCCCCCACTGCCTCCTGCCCCTCTTGCCCGAGAGCTCTGCGCAGCAGAGGAGGCGTGCAGCACACGCAGAGGAGGCATGCAGCACACGGCACAAAGCAGCAGAGGAGGCATGCAGCACACGGCAAAAAGCAGCAGAGGAGGCATGCAGCACACGGCACAAAGCATCAAGGAGAGGGCCAGGCTACGCAGACGCAATGACAGGGAGGAGACACAGACACAGACATGCGCATACACGAGAGACACAGACACGCAGGCAAGGGACCAACCAAGAGGCACACAACAACACTTGACGGTTACAGCAGGGAGCAGCAGACTAACAGGCGAGAACAAGGAGAAGGAACAACATGCAAACAGGGAATGAAGAAAGAAGAATAGGGGAATATGGGGACGTTGCAGTGGAGCTACCCATGTCTGACACCCCACACCTCACCACACGCCCATTCCTGCAAACATGGAGGTCACAAGTCCCCAATACTGCCAGACCATGCCACGCACTTCGACTTCCTGCCCCTAACATGCATCCCCGTCTGAACAACCCACCGCTCCTCTCCCAGCGGCAGCAGCGGAGGAGAGGTGGAGCAGCAGGGCATCGTAGCGGCCGCCCACAGCCACGCAGAGGGGCGGCGAGGACGACCACGGGGCGGCCAGGGCGGATGGGGGCGAGGCGGAGAGCGAGCGAGCGCCAGGCAAGGAAGCATCAGAGGGCAGGGTGGTGCGCTGGGTGCTGATAGGGTTTAGGGGGTGCTGCTGCTGGTGCTGGTGATGGGGAGGTTGAGACGGCAGGTGCCTTGCGTGGACCTGAGGTGCAGCGCACGCAGGAGATACAACGACGCAGGAGGCAGGGTGAACAAGGCTGGAAATAAGAACTGGAGACATTCCATGGCTGCATGTCACATGCACGGAAGGAAACAGGAGCAGCAAAATCAAAGAGGGCGCTTAAGGGAAAGAAGAAGGGGGTGGGGGAGACCTGGAAGAAGCATTTGGAGAAGTAGTGGTGGGAGGGCGCCATGAGGGCGTCGATGGTGGTGCACGCGGGGTGGATGCCCCACACTCGCAGCAGCGCCAGCAGCTCTCCCAGCTCGCCCAGTGCCGCCGCCACCAGTGGGCCTGGCCCGGGGGGGAGGATGAGAGGGGAGATGGAAGGGAAAATGGAAAGACATGAGTGGGAGGAATAAGAGGGATGGGCAGAACATTGAAGTAAATGTTCCTTGCGCATACCTGGTGGCAGCGCCCCTGTGAGCGCATACCTGGTGGCAGCGCCCCTGTGAGCGCATACCTGGTGGCAGCGCCCCTGTGAGCGCATACCTGGTGGCAGCGCCCCTGCGAGGCGCGCCATGGCATCGTCTGCCGGCCCACTGAAGCGCTTCTCCACCGCCTGCAGGCGATCCACCACCGCCTGCAGGACATGGTTGAAGGGGAGAGGAGCAGGCGGCAGGGGGGAGGGGAGTGACCTGGGCGACACTGGCGACCTGCGGGCGTGTGACCCCCGCCCACTGCCAGATGGCGCACAGCAGGTCGCGGTGGTTCAGCCGCACCTCCACCGCCCCCCATGCCGCCCCACTCCCCTCCACCACCTCCACCGCCACCTGCATGCAGCACGGCACGAGGCAGCACGGCACGAGGCAGCAGGGTGCGAGGCAGCAGGGTGCGAGGCAGCAGGTAGAGAGGCAAGGCGGGGAAAAGGGAAAGCTGGCACTGTTCTGTTGCAGCACTGGGGCACATGAATCTTGTTAGTGTGCAAGTGGGCACTTGTGTGTGGAAGGGTTTGGAAGTGACGCATGTGTGTGAGGCACATGGACGAGCAAAGCGCTGCCTGAGAACGCACCTTGATGGCTTCAGCATCCGCCAGAACCGGCGTCCCTCCCACAATGTCAAAGTCTGCCTGCCACCCACCTCCACCGCAATGCACATGCCCGCACCACATCGCATGGCACGGAGCAAAATCGAAATGGCCAGGGGCATGGTGGAGGACAGGGGGTGGCAGCAAGAGAGGAAGAGATAAGCAGTTGGTTAGGCCATTTCTGGGCAAAGTTCAAGGTGCACCCTACCCTGCCATGCACTGCTGTGAGGCCCCAAGGAGCTAGCTCGCATACACGCTTGTTCAGCACTCACCTGAGAATGCTGCACACCGACCATGATTGCCGCACACGTGGCGAGCAACACTCGCTACTTATACCCCATGCCCTTAAGCCCTGGACTCTTGCCACCAACCCAGTTTCACCCTGTTCCATCACCCCTTTGTTTCAACGGGTCAGGCGACACACCTGCAGATAATCATGAGGGGGGCGGCGACCGGGAGCGCGGCGAAACACAGAGGAGAACTGGAAGCGCTTCAGAGACGAGGTCTGGGAGGGGGAGGACAGGGGGGACAGCACACGTGCCAAATGGATGGCAAAGGGGCAATGGGTCGACAACAGAAAGAGAGGAGCATGAGAGTATCGGGACATTCAAGCGGCATCACGTGCATCACCTGTGTGGCAGCGACCCAGCGGGCGAAGGTGAGTCGAGTGTCGTAGCGCAGTGAGAGCAGCGAGCCCTGTGCGTCCACCACCCGCACCGCCAGCCTGGCAGGGGCGCACGGAGAGGTAGGAGGGGCGGAAGAGAGATGAGAGAAAATGCACGGGCAGACAATGAGAGAGCATAGCGAGAAGGTCAGCACACACACAACATTGAGGGGTTAGGGTTGGCGTACTCGTGGGTGCGGCGGTCGGGATAGGCAAAGTCAACGACACGTGTGTCGGAGCGCAGGGCGCCATGGCGGTGGAAGATGCACTGCACGCCCGCCATGAACGCCTCCCTCGCCCCCGTCCACTGCACCGCCCCCCGCTCCCACTCCTCCTCCTCCCCGGCCCCCCCATGCAGCGTGCGCACAGGTGGCGGGGTGGGCGCGGAGGAGGGAGGCGTGGCGGGGAGGCGGGCGAAGATGGCGGCGAGCACGCGGTCGTACACCGCCGACGAGGAAGTAGAGGAGGAGGAGGAGTCGTCCCCCGGCGCCTGGATGGCCCTCAGTATGCCTGCTCGCCCCCAGCGCAGTGCAGGGGGGGGGGCGCAGCGGCACACACGAGTGAGGGAAGGGCGACGGTCATGGGAGTGAACACAGGATACACCAGCAGGGAAGCCATGCAGGGAAGGTTGTGTGCAGGCAGGAAAGGTTGCAGCATGGGAGTTTAGAAGGAGCGCGGGCAGTGAGAGTGACCCCCCACCCCCACCGTTTGTGGTGTGCAAGCACCCACCGTTGAGCGCCTCATCCTCCATGCGCGGCGGCATGAGGTCGCATCGCAACACCTCTGCTGCTGACGGGCGGTCACTGGGTAGCGGACTCAGCAGCCGCCTCACCAGCTCTGCCACCTGTGGAGAGTGTGACACACACACACACACACACACACACACACACACACACACACACACACACACACACACACACACACATACACACAGGTGCAAACAGGCACACACAGGCATACACAGGCACATACAGGCACTTGGGTACACACAGAAACACACAGACGCACACAGGCGGGTGGTGGAGCACCCATGCGTGTGGCAGGGCGCACCTGGGGGTGCTTGAGCGCCCACTCATGTGGAATGGTGCGGTGCAGCTTGAGGGCTGAGAGCGTGTGAGCGTGCTCCATGGCCGTGTGGAAGGGGTGCCAACACTCCAGCAGCACCACGCCCACACTCCACATGTCCACCTGCCCACCCCACCCAGCTCACACGGGGATGTTAGTTACGTGCCACGGCATATGGATGCACAGGCACGGGTGAGGGCATGGACAGGCACAGGAGAGAGGTACGAGATGACAGGGTGCGTGGGGTGCCAGGCCAGGGGTGCGGATGCTGCGTGCACTTGCCTTGTCGTCCACGTGCGCCCACCCCTGCTCCACCTCGGGTGCCGTGTAGAAGTACGTCCCCACCTGCCCCGTCGCCGACTGCCGCCTCTCCCCCATGGGGCCCCCTTCCCTCCCCCCCCTTTCTGCACCCCCTTCGGGACTCAATTCCCTTTCTGCCTCTTCTCCAGCGTCTGCAGCATCGACCCCCTCCCCCAGCTCCGAGAACTTGGCTGCCGTGTCATGCCCCATGGGGTAAAGGGGGGGGGGGGAGGGGAGTTAGGACAGACGAGTAAAAGATACACAAGCAGGATCACGGAGAAGAAACAGACGAGATCAGACAGGCAAACTAACGGTATGCAGAGCAAAACAAAAGGGAAAAAACAAGCAAACCATCAAGTCATGCAGATGCAGCATGCAGGTGAGCGCGCATGCAAGGCGTGTTGTGATACCGAGGCCGAAGTCGCCGATCTTGATGTCCCCACGCGGGTCAACAAAGAGGTTGTTGGGAGTGAGGTCGCGGTGGATGATGCCCTGCCCGTGCACGTGCAGCAGCCCCTCCACCACCTGCCGCACCACCCTCCACGCCCACGCGCCATCCACCTCGTCCCCCCCCCTCGCCTCCAACACCTGCCGCAGCGTCCTGGCAGGCACAGGCGCGGAGAGGGCGGGACAAGGGCAGGCAGGCGAAAGAAGAAGAGGGCTCAGGGTGAAAACGCGCATGTAATGTGCATGGTCGAAACACGAACGGATAGGTGCACATTCTTCCATCACAACCGCAAAAGGCGGACGTGCAAAGAGCAGAAGGTGTGAAGAGGGGAAAGCAGTGTCAGAAAACGCACCTAGGGCAGTACTCCATCTGAACGCACCTAGGGCAGTACTCCATCTGAACGCACCTAGGGCAGTACTCCATCTGAACGCACCTGGGGCAGTACTCCATCTGAACGCACCTGGGGCAGTACTCCATCTGAATGTACAGGTACGTCGTTTCCGCCTCACCCCCATTCCTGCCGTCCCTCCCCCCCGGCAAGCTGTGGGAGTGGGTGAGGTCTGCATCGCGAGTGAGCCACTCCGATGCCGACGCCAGCGACGTGCTCGCAGTGGGGCTCGCGCTGCCCTCCATGCTGTCTGTGTCGGTGTGCGCGGGCAGGTGGCGAGTGGAGCGGCCGGCCCCGGTCTCGAACCAGGCCTGGTAGTAGCGCACCACGTGCTGGTGCTGCAGCCGTGACAGCGTCGCCACCTCCCTGCCATGGCCCCGCCCCACATGCAAGGGGGGTCAGAGGGTGAGAGGGTGAGAGGGTAAGAGGGTGAGAGGTTGAGAGTGTGAGCAGTTGAGAGGGCAAGAGGGTGAGAGGGTGAAAGCGTAGGAGGGTGGGAGGGGCAGGGCACCTGAGGATCTTGGAGTTGAGGGCGGGGCTCTTGCCCCGGAGGGGAATCCTCTTGATGGCATACTTGCGCCCGTCCAGCTTGTTCACACACAGCACCACCGACCCAAACCCGCCCTTGCCTGCTCCACCCACACGGGCAGCACGACCAGGAGGGGTTCATGGCAGGGAACTAATGAGAGGCAGTGATGAGAGTCACCAGGGGAGACGGCATACAGAGCAAGAAAGGCACGGACTGGCCTCACCCAGCATGGCATGGCCTCACCCACCCAGCATGGCATGGCCTCACCCACCCAGCATGGCATGGCCTCACCCACCCAGCATGGCATGGCCTCACCCACCCAGCATGGCATGGCCTCACCCACCCAGCATGGCATGGCGTCACCCACCCAGCATGGCATGGCCTCACCCACCCAGCATGGCATGGCCTCACCCACCCAGCATGGCATCGCCTCACCCACCCAGCATGGCGACCTCCTCGAAGTCTGAGAGGTAGCGCGACCCCGACGCCTGTGCTGCTGCATCTGCAGCGCTGCCCTCGCCCTCCGCACTGGCCGACCAGAACCGCTGCAGCGCCCGTTGCACCTGTGAGTGTGAGAGTGGCGTGACAGCACAGCCGCACCCCTTGCATGCCCCGTTAGATCCCATGCCCTTGCCACAGGCAAGGCAGGAGCCATACAAGAGCGCACACACAGCACGGCTGGACCGGTGCATGCACACATGCATGGGCAGGATGGGTGGAGGGAGCGTGAGAGAAAGCAGGGACAGGTGGCGCACATGGCATGGCAGGAAAGCTCACGGATGGGTCTGCATGGGCGTGCGCAGTGAGGCAGCGGGCAGGCTTGCTGAAGACGCGGTGGAAGGCACGGTCGATGAGGCGCGGGTCATGGTGCAGCAGATCCGCCACCCACTGCGGTATCACCTGCCCATGTTGCACTCGCACTCGCACACATGCACACACACACAGACACGCATGCACACGTTAGATAGCTGCATCATCTCTCACTGTTTTCATTGCAATAACTAATCCTGCAGCGATCATTGCATGCGGTTACCTCATTGCATGATGTTACCTCATGACAGGTGCTTACCACAAGCCTTGTGGTTACCCAATGTGCTTACCTCCAGCCATGTGGTTACCACAGGAATGTGATTACCACAAGGCATGTGGTTACCACAGGGCATGTGGTTACCACAGGGCATGTGGTTACCACAAGACACGTGGTTACCTCAAGAGCGTGCAGCTGAGAGGCGAGGGCAGGCAGGGCGTGGGGCAGAGGGCCGTTGTGGCTGGTGACCATGCGCAGTAGGTGAGCCTGCATGCACATGAAGGGAATGCTTGTTAGGAGGGCAGCAGGGGAATGCACGGAGCGAGCAGGGCGCAGGGTGAGGGAGGGGGTACGAGGAGCAGGTCGCGCTGGATCATGCCCGTGTACATGTCGCGCGACCCACGGCGCTGCGCTCCTGAGGCCGATGCCGAGGCCAGCACCGCAGCTGCAGCTGCAGTGGCTCCCTGCGCTGCATCCCTCCCATCTGCACCCACTGCCGTCCCTCCATCCGTTGAAAAACTCCTTCCTTCACTCTCTTCCTCCTCCTCATCATCCTCCTCCTCCTCCTCCTCACTCTGCTCGTCCTCCTCCCCCTCCTCCTCATCCCCTCCATCACCACCACCGTCCTGCTGCGTGCGCCCGCCCCCTGATCCCCTGTGCCTCGCCGTGCTCCTCTGATGCCCCACCAGCTGCTCCACCTGCCACATGCCACCACATGCCACCACATGCACACACATGCACACACACACACACACACACACACACACACACACACACACACACACACACACACACACACACACACACAGGGAGCAGGTAGCAGGAAGCAGGGAGCAGATGTTCATTGGGGGAACTTAAAGCCCAGAAGTTAAGCACTGAACGCAAAGAGATTGAGAGCCCTGTTGTACCCCTAACCTGCTCCCCTTTGTCAGTCCACCACGCACCTCGACCCTCTCTCACTCGCCGGATTAGTTCGCCCACCGACCCCTGAGTGTCCTCCTCCCCGCCCCCCGACGCTGACAGGGTCACGGCAGAACACCCCATCGGCCACGCGCTGCTGGATGGTGAGGGGGCAGTGGAGGGGGTGGTGGTGTGGGAGGCAGAGCCATCGGATGCACTGTCGCCCCCATGCTGCCACAGCCCCCTGCCCCTCTGCCTCCCTCTGCCGCCGCTGCCTTGGCTCTCCTCCTCTCCACTCTCCTGCTCCTCCTCCTCGTCGTCATCCCCCTCCTCTCCCTCGTGTGACGACTCGCTTGCTTCTTCACTCTGCTGCCTTTGCATCTTCACCGCACCACCCACGCCACCCGGCCTCCCCACACCACCGCCACCACCAGCCAAAGCGGTACCTCCACTCCTTCCCTCCCTAGCTTCTGTGCCTCGCCCCTCCCCCCCTGGCCTGCCACCGAGGCCCCCTCTTCCTCCTGCACTCGCTCCTCTTCCTTTCCCTCGCCCTCCACCCCCCACCTCGCCCCTCCCAGCTCCGCCCTCCTGACTGCCCCCCGCGCCTCTGCCCCTGCCTGCGCCCCTGCCTCTGCCCCTGCCCCTGCCTGCGCCTGCAGTGCCTGGGCCAGGGGGCCAGGCAGCGGGGGCGAGGGGGAGGGCAGAGAGGGGGTCGGAGAAGAGCCCCGCGTCCACACTGTCCTCCCACGCCCACCCCTCCTCCTCCCACCCCTCCTCCCCGCCCGCCACCTCGCCTTCTGCCTCCTCCCCATCGCTGCCCGCCTGCAAGCACTCCAAGATGGAGTGTTAAGACGCCAGCGCACGCAACGCGAGAGCTGTGACGGCGATGGGGAATGAAGTTAGAAATGCAGAGACACATGCAGCACACAGGTGAAGGGCGATGAACAAAGCGCACCTGGGTGGGAGCAAGAGGGTGGTGTGTGGCGGGTGACAGTGACGAGAGGCGGCGAGAGAGGAACTCTTGTGCCGTCTCGGCAAGGTTGAATACCGTCACTCGCCCCTCCCGTGCTGCCCGTGCTGCCTGCATTGCCACACGCCGTGTGCAGCACGCATGGTCAGGTGAACGCTCAAGGCAAAGCCGCAACGCATAGGCACACAACAATGGACCCAGCCACGTTGGAAAGGCGGACTTGGTTGGAAGCAAGGAGGGAGATAGACAAGGGACGGGGAGTGGCAGTGCGGAGAGCAGAGAGGCGCCTGTTGGTCCCTCACCCCCCTGTGCCCTGGCCTGACCCCACCTGGTCGTGCAGCAGCGCCACCAGCTCCACCACGTCCTCCTGCTCCAGCCCCTCCCGCGCCTCCACTCGCAGCTTCAACGCCCGCCTCGGATATCCTGCCACATACCTGCACGAGGGGCGCGGGCAGGGGAAGGGGAGGCAATGAGGGAGTGGACGCGGCCACCTCTCCCGCTGCACCCCTCCACGACCACCCCACACCTCACTGCCTCACCGCAATACTGCCACACCACGACCTTCCCTGGGAGCGGGCTTGCCTGGGAGCGGGCTTGCCTGGGAGCGGGCTTGCCTGGGGGCGGGCTTGCCTGGGGAGGGGCTTGCCTGACGACGAGGTGGAGGGAGACGGCGTCGAGGTTGGCGTGGGCGGCGAAGGAGTAGTGCGGGCGCAGCAGCAGCGCATACTCCACCAGCGGCCGCTCCGCGCGCAGCTCAAAGTCGTCCGCGAAGATGGCGGAGCTGCCCAGGGCAGGGGGAAAGGCGGAGGGGCGACAGGTCAAAAGAGCAACAAATGCTATTGGAGTGCAGCCATGTGGGTGGATAGGCCTCCAGACATGAAAAATGACGCCAACACACGGCCTGTGGTTTCAGCCATACGTCCGTTGACAGGGGTGCGGCGGGGCGTACATGGCGGTGAGCTCGTCGAGCTGCTGCGCGCGCAGCTCCTCGTCCTCCTCCTCCTCGTCCCGCCGATGCCGCCCGGCCCCCGCGCGGCCGCCTCCGCCTCGATGGCCGCGCGCCTTCTTTTTGCCCGCCATGCGCGCACACACGCACGCCGCGCGTCACACACGTGTGTGGACCCACAACATCACTCCCCTTGAAGGAATCTTACGTACCCAGTGCGACCTACGCAATTAGCACTCGCACACGTTTAGGCGTGCTTCTGCGTTCGGTGACAATGATGTTACCTGCAATAACGAATCCGTACAAGCTAATAGTTTTACTGAAGAAGCGCACTGACATTATTTCCAGAAAGACATTCAGAAATTCTTGCCTGATATCATTCGTGGTGCCACTACCGTGAATTCCACGCCAGCTGTGCCCCTTCCAACTTCTGGAAGGAGATTCCGTGGTACTGTGCGGTGCAACTCCCAGAAATTGGACGATTTCGCCTGCATCGGTTTCGCAAAATTCGCCCAGTGCGTGTAAATCTTTGCTGGCGAAACGACTTTCGGAATTCCAGAAACGGCAGGATGGTGGTATTGGCGGGAAAGGAAACTAGGCAGAATCAATGAACCACCTCTTGTTGCTGCTCATTCCACTCCTCTCTCTCATCAACTGCTTGCCCTTCGATCCGCAACCCCACGCGTCAATTCCGCACATAAAATCTTTGTGATTCCTCAGTCGTCAGTGATTAATCCGTTTTTCCCGGTCAGCGGCAGCAGGCTTCTTGATGGCATCGGAGGGGGGGCAGTCGCCGGAGGTGGAGGGCGAGGCGATGGTCACGGTCGTCATCAAGAACCCCTCCGCGTCGTCGCCAGGCGACTTCAGGACGCGAGTGCGAGCGGCGGGCACGGTGGGCGACGTGAAGCGACAGCTGCAGGAAGAGTACGCGGGACACCCCGACCCGTCGCGACAGAAGCTGATCGTCGCCGGCCAGCTCGTGAAAGACTCGCTCCTCGTCCGCGACGTATTTAAACAGGTCCGCTCGCACGCTTTGTTCCGACCGTCTCAGTCGTTTAACGCGTGGTCGGCGCTCTCTCATCGTTATTGCCGCATGTCGCGGAGCTATACGTCTAGAGTCGTCGATCAGAGTCATGGTGGGAGGAAGACTCTGGTTGCTGCCGGAAATTCTTGTTATTCGGGAGTGCGAGCCTAAAGATTCAGTCAGTATGATTTTCTTGTTCCGTCACGTGCAAGTGCGTCAGGGGAAAGGATGTGCTTGAGTGTGACTCGTTTCACGTGCCACCAATCTCTGCGCTTCCCTCTCCCCCCCTGCGCTCCTCCGCGCGCAGAAGAACCTGAGCGAGCCCCAGGTGATGCACCTCGTCGTCTCTTCCGCTCCCCCCGGCACCTCCTCCGCGCCGTCCTCCGCGCCCTCTTCCGCGCCCTCCACGACTCACTCCAGCCGCTCCGTCTCCCCCACGCCCTCCTCCTCCGCGCGCGCCCACTCGCGCGCCACCCTCCCTGCCTCCAACCTCGCGCTTGCTCCTTTCCCTGCCGCGCCTGCGCCAATCCCTGCGCCCGCCGCCGCCGCCTCACTGCAGCGCGCAGGCGCTGTCCCGGGGTCCGGGCAGGCGCACGCAGTGGAGGCGGACGGGCCGGCTGTAGCGCCGGCCGCTGCAGCTGCGGCGCCCGCTGTGGCTGCTGCAGCCGCGGGTCCTGGCGCAGCGGATGGGGGGCTTACAGCGGGCGGGGGAGAGGCAGGAGGGCGAGCACCCACAGCAGCACCCACAGCAGCAACAACAGCTCCAGCTGTTACGCAGGCCGCTGCCGCTGCTGGGGGGGGAGAGCAGCAGCAAGCCATCCTTCAGGTGAGTATTCAGTCGCTTCTGCTGCCACGTTCGCCCTCCTCTTCCCGCTCTCTACCCTCGCCGCTCATCTCTACCCTTTCCTCTCCTCTCTACCCTCCCCTCTCCACTCTACCCTCGCTCCTCCTCTCTCCTGTCTGCTCTGTTCACACGCCTCCCTACCCTCTCCCCGTCCTCCCCTCTCTCCCCCTCTCCATCCTGGGCCCCTCGCAGCTGCTCGGTGCGCTGCAACACACTGCGCCCACTGGCCTGCCGCCTCTGCCCTTCTCGCCTCTCATGGCGCCGCCCCTGCCGGCCCTTCCGCCGCCATACTCGCCTTTCACGCTGCCGCCCTTCATGCTGCCTGCTGACTCTTCCATGCCTGCATCAGCCCTCTACCCACCTTTACTGCACTCCCCTCTGCTCCCCCTCTCCATGCCGCCCATGCCCTTCCCCTTCGCTTTCCCTTTTCCCTGGCCCTCCCCTCCGCCCATGCCCATGCCGGGTGATCCCCTCGCACCCATCGCCTTTGCCCCTCCCATGCCTCCCTTCGCCTTCCCACCCACCATGCCTCCTCCGCACCCATTCGCCAGCAACGGCAACAGGTGAGCTGTTTTTTAGAGTGCATTAGGCGTCTTAGCAGTGTGAGAGGCATCATAGCAGTGCGAGAGGCATCATAGCAGTGTGAGAGGCATCATAGCAGTGCAAGAGGCATCTTAGCAGTGCGAGAGGCATCTTAGCAGTGCGAGAGGCATCATAGCAGTGCGAGAGGCATCATAGCAGTGCGAGAGGCATCTTAGCAGTGCGAGAGGCTCCTTTATCTCTTCATGCTTACAGTTGGACTGATTTAGTTTTTTCCTTTTAGCCTTGAGCCCACTGCAACTGTTCCTTCACATTCTTATCCTTGTTCTCCACTTGATCCCCTCGCCCCACCATGTGCCCCTGCATCTGTGCCTCTGCCGTGTGCTGCCAGCCCTGCCCCCCCTGTTGGCGCGCCTGTGCACACCCACCCGCACCACCCACCCACTGTGGGCCTCGCACCACCACCGCCCGCACCAGCGGCAGCACCTTTGCCTCAGGCAGGGGCAGCACAGCCCCATCCCGCCGCCCCTGCTGCAGCGCCAGGTGCCGTGGGGGAGGAGGCGGCAGCAGCGGCGGCCGTGCAGCAGCATGTGCGGCAGGCGGGCGCAGTGGGAGGGGTGGAGGAGGAGTGGCAGCAGCAGCTGCAGCAGCGGCTGCAGGCGGTGATGCAGGCAGTGCGGCAGCAGCAGATGGCAGAGCACCACGCTGCCATGGCCGCTGCTGCTGCTGCCGCCGCTGCTGCACAGAGGGGGGGCGCAGGTGGGCTTGCAGGAGTGCCAGGAGGAGGCAGGGCGGCAGGAGATGCAGCAGGGCATGTGGGGGTGGGGGGGGCGGCAGCAGTGGAGGGCGCGCCTAGAGTGCGGCGCATTCAGTTTGCGATCCGCATCGACCTCATGCTGCTGCTGAAGCTCACGCTGCTCGTCTATGTGTTCGGCCAGGGCGGGGGCTACCGCCGCTTCTTTGCCCTCATCGCTGCTGCTCTCTTCATCTACCTGTGAGCCGCCCAGCTTTTCGTTAACTCACACCAGCATGTGGCAGCTGTGTCAGCTCTTCACCTCTTTCCCGTCCTCCTCACACCCTCTTCTCTGCGCTCTGCGCCCTCTCCCCCATGGGCAGGTACCAAGCGGGCGTGCTGGCGCCGCTGCTGCGATGGCTCTCCCACCGCGCGCAGGCCGCCATGGGCCTGCCTCCCCACCCCCCCCACGCCGCTGCTGCCCCCCACGCTGCTGTGCCACCTCAGGCTGGAGCCGGGGCTGCAGGGGATGGGGGAGGGGCGGCAGGGGTGGAGGGAGGTGTCGGCGGGGCGGCAGGTGGTGTGCAGGGCCAAGCAGGTGCGAGGCTAAGTGCTCTCTGCCCCACCCCTCTTGCCTAGCCCCACCCCGCTTGCATGCCGTTGCTTGACTGTGCCACCCCTCCCTTCACTGGCTGCTTCTCGCCTTGCCTTTCATGCTCCGTTATTCCTCATTCCCATCTTCAGTCTCATTGTGTGTCACATCCTTCGTCTCATCTTGTGTGCTGCAGCCGTTCAAGCCTTGCAACAGCAGCCACCACAGCAGGGAGTGCAGCAGCAGCAGCAGCAGAGGCGGGGATGGCTACAGGAGGTGCAGGTGTTTGTGGTGGGCTTCCTCACATCGCTGCTGCCTGGCTTCCAGCCGCCCGACCATCTGCCCGCTGCCCTGCCACCCCAGGCCGACCGCCCTCACCAGGATTAGAGATGAAATGTTAACATCAGTTAGTCGGCTCAAAAGGACAACAGTCCGTTCAAGTATCTCAATCAAAATATTCTAACCTTTTCTTTTAACTATTTGCACAAAAGCTACACTGAATCAAAACTATTTCGCCATCACCTTCCATCGACTTCCGCCGAACCACTGACGGGTTCGCTCACGGATGCTGCCCATATTGCACCATTTTCCTAGCTTTTCCTACGCCACAGCCTCATTTCCATCGTCGCGCGCGAGCGCACTCGAGTCGGCACGCGGCAACCCCTAGAGTCTCAAGCTCCTCACTCCTTCCAATCCTCGCCCCACGGGCGCGGCAGCGACGGTCCGCGCGCCGCTCGTGGCGGCTGTCATGGCGTCCACCCACTCAGACGCCGCGGACTCCCAATCGGACGGCTCAGATTCTCCAATTCTCGTGGAGCGACCGGGTCCGTCCGATGTGACTACGGTTGGCGAACTGGCAGACAGGGAGGCCGCAGGGGGCGCAGCCGCTGGCGGGGCGGAGTCGAAGGCGGACGACTCGTCCGCGGAACCACCATGCAGCGATGGCGCGCCCGGCGATCCGCGGAAGGAACGCGCGGAGCCCCCGGGGCAGGACGAGGCGGAATCCGCAGCGGCGCTGGTGTCGCCGTCGAAAGCGCACGGGCGAGAGAGAGGCGCGGCGGGGTCGGGGCAGGGCGAGGTGGCGGCGGCTGTGGGGCAGGTGGCGGCGGGCGTGGCGGCGGGCGTGGCGGGTCTCGCGAGCAGCGCGGGCGCCGAGGCAGCCGCCGTCGTGAGCAGCCTGGGCGAGCGGGTGAGTTGGAGGGGAAGGACGCGCGGGAGGGTTGGGCGGGGGAAAAAAAAAGTGTGGGTGGGGGGAGTGGGGCGGACGGGGGAAGATCGAGAGAATGCGGGGCGAGCGGGGGAGCGGGTGAGGGGCAACAGTGTGCGGCACTCTTGGCATTCTTTAAAGCCCTCCCTGCGGCCTCACCTCCACGTCGCCACCTCCCTCACAGCCCCTCCCCTCCCCTCCTCTCCCCGCGTGTGTGCGTGCGTGCGTGCGTGCGGGCGGGCGTGTGTGCGTACGTGTGCGTGTGTGTGCGCGCGTGTGCGTGCGTGCGTGCGAGTGCGAGTGCGCGTGCATGCGTGCATGCGTGTTCCTGTGTGTGCCTGTGCGTGCATGTGTGCATGCATGTGAGTGTGTGCGGTGCATGTGGGTGTGCGATGCATGTGGGTGTGCGGTGCATGTGGGTGTGCGGTGCATGTGGGTGTGCGGTGCATGTGAGTGTGCGGTGCATGTGAGTGTGCGGTGCATGTGAGTGTGTGTTTGCACGTGGGTGTGGGGTGCATGAGTGCATGCATGCGAGTGTGTGCATGCATGTGGGAGTGCGTGCATGTGTGCGTGCATGTGTGCGTGCATGTGTGCGTGCATGTGTGCGTGCATGTGTGCGTGCATGTGTGCGTGCATGTGTGCGTGCATGTGTGCGTGCATGTGTGCGTGCATGTGTGCGTGCATGTGTGCGTGCATGTGTGCGTGCATGTGTGCGTGCATGTGTGCGTGCATGTGTGCGTGCATGTGTGCGTGCATGTGTGCGTGCATGTGTGCGTGCATGTGTGCGTGCATGTGTGCGTGCATGTGTGCGTGCATGTGTGCGTGCATGTGTGCGTGCATGTGTGCGTGCATGTGTGCGTGCATGTGTGCGTGCATGTGTGCGTGCATGTGTGCGTGCATGTGTGCGTGCATGTGTGCGTGCATGTGTGCGTGCATGTGTGCGTGCATGTGTGCGTGCATGTGTGCGTGCATGTGTGCGTGCATGTGTGCGTGCATGTGTGCGTGCATGTGTGCGTGCATGTGTGCGTGCATGTGTGCGTGCATGTGTGCGTGCATGTGTGCGTGCATGTGTGCGTGCATGTGTGCGTGCATGTGTGCGTGCATGTGTGCGTGCATGTGTGCGTGCATGTGTGCGTGCATGTGTGCGTGCATGTGTGCGTGCATGTGTGCGTGCATGTGTGCGTGCATGTGTGCGTGCATGTGTGCGTGCATGTGTGCGTGCATGTGTGCGTGCATGTGTGCGTGCATGTGTGCGTGCCTGCGTGCGTGCCTGCGTGCGTGCCTGCGTGCGTGCCTGCGTGCGTGCGTGCGTGCGTGCGTGCGTGCGTGCGTGCGTGCGTGCGTGCGTGCGTGCGTGCGTGCGTGCGTGCGTGCGTGCGTGCGTGCGTGCATGCGTGCGTGCATGCGTGCGTGCATGCGTGCGTGCATGCGTGCGTGCATGCGTGCGTGCATGCGTGCGTGCATGTGTGCGTGCATGTGTGCGTGCATGTGTGCGTGCATGTGTGCGTGCATGTGTGCGTGCATGTGTGCGTGCATGTGTGCGTGCATGTGTGCGTGCATGTGTGCGTGCATGTGTGCGTGCATGTGTGCGTGCATGTGTGCGTGCATGTGTGCGTGCATGTGTGCGTGCATGTGTGCGTGCATGTGTGCGTGCATGTGTGCGTGCATGTGTGCGTGCATGTGCGCTTGCATGTGCGCTTGCATGTGCGCGTGCATGTGCGCGTGCATGTGCGTGCATGTGTGTGTGCATGTGTGCGTGCATGTGTGCGTGCATGTGTGCGTGCATGTGTGCGTGCATGTGTGCGTGCATGTGTGCGTGCATGTGTGCGTGCATGTGTGCATGCATGTGTGCGTGCATGTGTGCATGCATGGGAGCGCGTGGAGCAGGTGACAGGGCTGAGCACGGGCTTTGTGTCGCTCTTCAGTGTCTTTGACTCCGCTATCGCCTACCCCTCCGACAAGCCCACTGCTCCCGCCGCCGCCGGGGGTGGCAGCAGCGCAGCGCAGGCAGAGGCGCACAAGGCCAGGGGGGGCAGTGATGGCAGGGGGACGGGGGGCGCGGAGGAGGAGGGGCAGGCAGGGGCGGAGGGCAGTGCGCGGTCGCCCCACCCGTCCAGAGCCATCGACCTGCAGGCCATCTTTGGCCTCCCCACCCATGAGACCCTGCTGGAAGGTGCGTGGAATGTTCCATGCGAGCCGTGCATGCTGTGCTGCTGGGCTGCTGTGGTGCTGTGCCTGTTGCCCCCTTTCCTCAACACTCCCTTCCCCATCCTCCCCCATCCTTCATCCTTCCTGCCGCATTCCTTTTGCAGTCATCATCTCGTGAATTCCTCACACTCCACACTGCCATATACTTCTTTCCCCTTCTCACCCTCTCCACCGTACGCCCTCCTCATACCTCTCCCTTCTCTCCGCTCTGCGCATCACTTCACTTCTCAACCCCACCTCCCACTCCACCCCCTTTCTCACTCCCTCTTCTCCCACGGCCCCCAGCCTTCCCCTGTCGGCTGCTGCAGCTGTACCGACCAGTGTACAACACGTTCACGCCCGACATGCGGAGGGCCTTCAGGGGCACGCTCTACATCACACACCAGCACGTCTGCCTCTGCCTTGACGACAGTGGACGCCGCATCCCCGTGAGGGCCCTGCCCTGCTGCTCATCCAGCAGCCCCTCTATGCTCACCAACCCCGTCTCTCTTTGCCTCGCCCCATTAAGTTCACCATTTTCCCACTCCCTTCCCCCCGCCATTCCCGCCCTTGTTCCTTTTCCTTGCCCACTTCCATGCCCTTGCCCACTCCCCTCCCCACATTCCTCTCGGTGCTGCCCGGGGCCGTGCCATGTGTGGGCTGGGGGGGGCCGTGCCATGTGTGGGCTGGGGGGGGCCGTGCCATGTGTGGGCTGGGGGGGGGCGTGCCATGTGTGGGCTGGGGGTGGCCGTGCCATGTGTGGGCTGGGGTGGGGCGTGCCATGTGTGGGCTGGGGTGGGGCGTGCCATGTGTGGGCTGGGGTGGGGCGTGCCATGTGTGGGCTGGGGTGGGGCGTGCCATGTGTGGGCTGGGGTGGGGCGTGCCATGTGTGGGCTGGGGTGGGGCGTGCCATGTGTGGGCTGGGGTGGGGCGTGCCATGTGTGGGCTGGGGTGGGGCGTGCCATGTGTGGGCTGGGGTGGGGCGTGCCATGTGTGGGCTGGGGTGGGGCGTGCCATGTGTGGGCTGGGGTGGGGCGTGCCATGTGTGGGCTGGGGTGGGGCGTGCCATGTGTGGGCTGGGGTGGGGCGTGCCATGTGTGGGCTGGGGTGGGGCGTGCCATGTGTGGGCTGGGGTGGGGCGTGCCATGTGTGGGCTGGGGTGGGGCGTGCCATGTGTGGGCTGGGGTGGGGCGTGCCATGTGTGGGCTGGGGTGGGGCGTGCCATGTGTGGGCTGGGGTGGGGCGTGCCATGTGTGGGCTGGGGTGGGGCGGTGGGGCAGATAAAGCTGGAGGCAGCGGAGGTGGCGGGGGTGGGGAAGCAAGCAGCCAGGCGGGGCGACAGCAGCGACCAGCTCAAGATCGACCTCTCAGGCGCGCACACCTCGGTGGGTGCTGTCGGGGGCGCACAGCTCGGTGGGTGCTGCGGGGGGCTCTCATCCCTCCACCCACCCTGCCCTGATCGCCACTGCCTATGTTTCCTCTGTCGCATTTCCCCCCTCTCTCTGGCTCCCTGCCTCCCTCTTCCCCCTCCCTTCTCTCCCTCTTCCCCCTCCCTTCTCTCCCTCTTCCCCCTCCCTTCTCTCCCTCACCACCTCTCCCCCATGTTCCCCTCACCCCCGCACCCCCGCACCCCCACTGTCCACCACAGCTACTGCTGCAGGACTTCGCCTCCCCTGATGCGCTGGACAGCGCCCTCGCTCTCCTCGAACACATCACCTCCTGATGCCGCCCCGCCTCACAACCCACCGCTTGCCTCCCGCTCCATGCCGCCCCGCTTACGCTGCCCCGCCTCATGCCGCCCCGCTTACACTGCCCCGCCTCATGCCGCCCCGCTTACACTGCCCCGCCTCGTGCTGCCCCGCCTCAGCCCTTCACAGAGTGGGGTCAGCCGCAGGTTGGGCTCTTGGGGTGCATGTGTGCACCACATGGGATGAACCATCGTCACAGTAATGGTAATGGGTAACGGTAACGTGCAGTGCTCTCAGCACACCGTCCACCACATTCCAGCTCATGGCACGGGCTACGATCCCGTTTGGGGCATGCCCAGCCACATGAGGCGTGTGCTCTCTTGCTGCCTGCCTGTTCCTTCCCCACTTTAGAGTGTGGCTTCCAAATGGTTTTGCATTTTATAGTAGTCATATATATAGAACCACTTTACACGGGCCTTCTAGGCTACTATATGCAGTGCAGGTCAGGGATCGTTGTACGTATGCTATGCATGGGTAGACGGACTAGGGTGGTGCGAAAGCAGTGCTGCATGATCCACGCAGGGCAGCAGGGCACAGGACATGGGATGCAGGTGGGGTGTGTGCATGCACTGTCACAGGTGAAAGCCACGTGGGCTGGTCAGCTGCTGCTGCTGCTGCAGCAGCACAGAGGGCTCCTCCTGTCTGCTGCCGCCACCACTGCTGCCTACACCGCCCACCAACGCCTTGTCTGCTTGCAGAGTGAACGCCAGCTGATCCATCTCTCCCATCACGTCCCCCCTCTCTCCCTCACCATACCCGCCCTCCCTGCCACTGCCTCTGCTGCCGTCCGACTCGCCCCTCTCCATCTCGCCTCCACCGTCGTCCCGCCGGCTGCCCCCGTCCTCGCCACCGTCGCTGCGGTCGTCACGTGCCTCGCCGTCCTCAGCGCCGCGCTGGCGCTCAAAGCGGCTCACAAAGCGCTCGATCACCACGTCGGGGTGCTGCACTGCCACCGCCTGGGGGATGCACGGGGGCCGAGCAGGGGAGGGGAGAGGGAGAAGGGAGCATGAGGTGGTGAGCATGACGGGCGTTCTTCGCTGACCTGCACCGGGGCAGACGTACACCGGGGCTGACCTGCAGCTGCGGGTGGACGTGGGTGGGGTGACTGACCAGCACCTGTTGTGGCGTGCACGGGGCTGACCTGCAGTTGCTGCTGCAGGTGGCGCATGTAGTCAATAGCATCGTCCAGCATGTCGGCCGTGTTGGCCTGCTTGTCCGTGTTGGGCACCAGCTCCGCCAGTCGTTTCATGTTCTCCGCTATGCGCGACCGCCGCACCTGCCATGGCATCACACGCGAGGGAGACAGGGCCGTGGGGGTGGGGCGTGGGTAAGAATTGGGGGGGAGTCAACGTTAGGCTGGCAGCGCAATAGTGACGATAATGCCATGCTCAGCGGTGAAACATGGCGGAAGGCGGCAATGGAGCGTCGAGAGGGCCTCGTACCCGTTCGGCGATGCTGCGGGGGTGGGTAGCGCAGCCTCGCTTGGCGCGGATCTTACACAGCACGCCATCCTCCGACGCCAGCAGTCGTCCGTTCGCCGCTGCCCGCGCCACGTCTTCCCCCAGCCCTGCCGCCATTCGCCCAAGATTCAGCGCCCCGGGCCCCGCCACGGCGGAAATCCCCCCCAAGCCCGTTCTGTGCGCCTTTCCTCCGCCCTCGTTGTCTCGGAACGGTCCGCCTGTCCCTCCCGGCGGCGCCATGCGCTTGGAGCGCGGCAGCAGCTGCATCTCGCGCTCCTCCGCCGCCCGCTTCTGCTGCGCAGTCGCCGCTGACTCCCCGCCGGGAGGCTTGGAGGCGCCACGCGACGGGGAGGAGAGGGGCGCGGAGGCGGCAAGCGGGGGCGCATTGGAGGGGGCGAGGCCGGCGCGCATGATGGCGCCCAGTTGACTGCTGAAGTCGATGCCGGGGACAGACGCGCTTGGGGGTGCGGAAGGGGGGCGAAGCGCGTGGGTGGGGGAGGGCGCGGAGGCAGTGCGGGCGAAAGGGAAGGCGGAGTGGGAGGGCGGCAGGGGGTGGTCCGGTGGGTGCGAGGAACGTGGTGCGGCGGACTGCTCCATGGTGCTTGGCGCGAGCTCCAACGCCGCCAGCCCTGCCGCAACCAACGGGCGCGCGGGGGGGAGCGCGAGTCACACACACTGTTGGGGTTCGCGCACAATCATGTTCCTCGCGGAAGCAATCATGCATGCGTACAGTACGCGCAGTAGCGGGGACCGATTCTGGACGCACCTGAGTGTTGCTGCAGCCACGACGACAGCATCCCCGACGCCGCGTCGTTCGCGCCCATTGCGCCACCGCCGCTGCCCACGCTGCGCACCGAGCCCTCGCAGCCAGCCAACGGCAGCACCGCCAGGTGCCCCTGCCCCTGCCGCGCATCGCTCGGCGCAGTGCTGCCGCTGGGTGCGCCCCGAGCAGTGGGCGCGGACTGACCGAAGAGGCCGGAGAAGTTGAGCAGCGCCGCCGAAGCCGCCTGCGGTGTGCCGTCCGCGCCAGAGGCGTGAGGAAACGCGGCGAAGTTGAAGCGGGACCCCGCTCCGGTGGAGAGATCAGCCGCAGGATGCGCGGATGATGACAGATCGCGAGACGCCGACACGTCGGACGACGCCGACACACCCGCTGCTGCCGCCGCCGCCGCAGCTGCGTGGTTGCCGGCGAGAAAGGCGTCGATGGACGGAATGGAGGAGGGAAGGCCACCCGCCGTGGCGGACGACTCCCCCAGCAGCCCGAACGGCAATGCGCCCGCCGCGCTGCCGCCCGCCGCTGCAGAAGTAGCGAGGCCGCGCGAGTAGAGGAGGTATGGATAGGCCGCCATGCCCATGCCCATGTGGTTCAGCTGCGAGTCCATCGCGCTCGCCCCCAGCGCCGCACTCATCCCCGCCGCCGTGCCGCCCGACGCGGGCGCGCGAGACGACGCCCACGGGCCCGCCGACGCCGACTCGATGTTGAACGCCTCGCCGCCCGCCGCCGCAGGTACTGGCGTGTGTTGGCGCGGCTCGGGTGCGCTGGAGGGGGATAGAGAGATCGGAACACGGACACGATCAAAAAGGGTAATAAGTAAGTGCACACGGCGGGGCGTGAACCGTAACGGAGGAAATTTTCCGGGAATGTTAGTCCGGCATTTTAATGAGCGTATGGAGCTATGCGAGGCTCACTGAGGAGTCGATTGATGCAGCTGTGACTGTAGCTGAGCGAGAGCCGACTCTATGTGCGCTGTTGGGGTCGTGGGAGTTGTGTGTAGGCTGCTAGGTTGACCTTTGTGCATCACAGTGCCACTGGAAGCAAGGACGCGAGACCAGAGACTGGAGAGATTGTCCTCTCCTCCTGCCATTGCAAACTGAGCAGAGTTGGATTTTGGTCACTCTGTTTGGTGCTGGCGGTGCACAGGGATGGTTATGCAAGATGGCAAGTGTGGAGTGGAGTGGGGCGGAGTGAACAGACGGAACGGCTTTGATGACTGCCTCCACCACGCTTTCGTGCGGGGAGACCCACCCACAAGTGGTTTGCTCTGCCCGGCTGCGAGCAGCTGTCGTGTGTGCCGCTCGCCGGTGGTCGTGGAACCAGCTGTTCCTCGTACGGCTGCCCTAGGAATCTTACAGTGCTGGCTGCCCGTGAATTGTCACTCCAACTCGCAGGGTAATTAACATTGCAAGTTGTCAAATGGAGGCTATGTGGATGAAATTACGCGTGCACCGGCCCGCCCGATTTCTTCAGCCGAAAACTAAACGTTTGAGCATTCACTACAGACAGCAATTGTGTTCTTTACCACGTGGCATGTGCTCAATTGAAACTTGCCTGCGCAAACAAATTCACAGAGCACTAGCGCGCGAACTTTTGGCAGTCAAAGGCAGGGCACACCAGCACGGAAAGCACTGCAAGTGTTCCCAGACCGATGCAGAAAGCTCACTTCAAGTTGCCCCAATCCGATAGGCCGCATCACGAAACAGCCTTGACCGTCGGGACGAAAAAAACTGCCCTGTCACTTGAACAATTGCTTGCTGTGCTTGAGCCCTGTCCAAATGAAATCTGGCAATCAAGGGGTCTGTACTTGGGACTGGTTTGGAGAAGCATTCCATATTTGTGTTTCCATGGTTTGGTTGACCTGCCCCTGACCCGCCAGAGCATCTCGATGTCAATGCTGCCTTTGGGGGGAGTGACTTGTCCGTTGCATATAGTCCATGAAAAATCAAGACCAGACTTTTTCCTCACTTGCACAAGCCAACCCCGTCCCGGAGCCGGCCAACAGTGCAGCTGTCAACCGGCTTGTCAACCGCAAGGGATCAAGCATGTCTTTGGCTCAACCCCCACAGTGAAGTCGGACTTCAAATGGACAGTGCACTGTACAGCTTATGGGCGCCGAGCAAGGACGCAATCTTCGTGCTGGTTGGTTGAAATTTTAGCTGATGTTGTACACGTCAGCTTTGGCATTTGCGACGCGCGGTTTGAGATTCACGCTTGTGTCCAGAAGCTAGGACAACGACAAACATTGATGAAGGAAATGATAACAGGTAACAAATACATGCCCCTAGCCGAAAGAGTTCCTCGACCTGGACCCAGAATGCTGCTGAGGTCAGCCCCAGCGTCCAACCACGCTCGATGATATTTTCCATTCAAGGGCGTATGCTGCCAAAGCCCACACTTCAAGAAGTACAGTAATCAAGTCGCGCACACCAAGTACATCGAACCTCCGCGATATTCGATTAGTTTATGATTAGCATCATGGGCAATGGCGATTAATTTTTTGCACTAAATGATTATTTCTATATAGCTCATTCGTACAGCATGTAAATGTCACCAGGATCTAGTAAACACTTCCATTAAAAAAACACGCACACATACACAAACAACAAACAAACAAACAAAACACACACACACACATACACAGACGCGCACACACACACACATACACACACACACACACACACACATACACACACATACACACACACACACACGCACATACACACACACGCACGCACATACACACATATAGACACTCGCATACACACATACACACACACACGCACGCACACACACATACACACACACACACACACACTCACTCATACACACACTCATACACACACGAAACACATAAAAATACTGGCAACTTGTTTACCTGGGATTGGGAGTTGTTGAGCATTGATATAAAATTACACGTGTGAAGTCAAGTTCGTTATGCAGAACACAAACAAAGGCGCAATGAAAGCTCACACATAATTGTTGCACTCCAGTGTCATAATATTTATTTATTCTTCCTAACCCTCCTGAACGCCCCCGGGTGTTTACATATATGGGAATAAGGTAGCCAGCACAAGACGCTCATGTTCTGGGTCTGGGGACACTATGGATAACTTTGATAGGACATGCCGTAGACTACCAGGTACAAGCACGTTCATGCCTAGGGCTACTTTGATTGGAGCTCATCCGTGAACAAATAGCAATGGGGGCAATGAGGCACACTGTTGCGTGCGAGGGCCGTGGCAGGGCAGGCGTCAAGAGCGGGCGGGGTGGATGAGTGGGATGTGCGAGATGGCGTGGCGGCGCAGCGACCACGGGCTCACTCCTGCCTTGTGTGCCGCCATCACCCCCAGCGCCTCCCAGTAGTTGCCCACCACCACCTGCCATCCACATGGCCCGGGGGGAAAGTAGCACGCACACCCCGGGAAGCAACAGCAGAGAGGGAAAAAAAGAGAGAGAGGAGGGGGAACGCTACCGATGAGCGACGGCGAGGCGAACGCTCCTGGTGCGCCACAGCCTCTGCGCCGGAGCGCAAGACGGACCCCGCGCGCGGGGGCTCCCGCGGTGACAAGGACCTGCCCGCGCGCGGAGCCAACTCGCGCCGCTGGTCCTCGAAGCGGCGGCGGATCTGATCAGCGGACGCCGGCGGAGCAACAGGCACGCTCGCGGCAGGGCGTGCAGGAGGAAGCGGACGGGGAGCAGGATCGCTCTCCGCGGTGCAGTCGCGGCCAAGAGCGCCAAGGAAATCCATTGGCCAACGCTCAAGACGCTCCACTGGCACACGAGGAGCCGACAACGCCGATCTCCCAGGCGCAACAGGCGGAACCTGTGGCAGCTACCCCGCGGAGCGGACGGGGAAGCACGCGGGGGAGAGGCGGGCGACGAGGAGCGCGCGGAGGGCAGAGGAGCGCAGGCCAAGCGGGAAGGGGACCGCCCTGCCAGTTGCCGAGCCCAATCTGGTTGGGGGAGCCGGCGGAACGAGTCACGCGCCAGTCATTCGCTAGGCGGGGGGCGAGGGGAGGAACACCAGCGCAAGCGGGGAGAAACAGGGATATCAACACAGAGGGGAGTGGAGACGATTATATACCGTCAGATCTGAGGCAACCAGACGATCCCGCCTCACCTCACGCGGAACAAGGAGAGGGGCAAGCGCAACAACAGGAGAGAGGAACCGGCCGCAGACAGCATCGCAGGGCTCAGCTTCCCCCGGACCAGGCACTATCGGCGTCCCAGCTGGCCTCGCGGGAGGATCTTTTCCAGATCGCGATGACTTGGGACCTTACACTCCTAACCTCCACCACCCACCTACCAATCGTCCGCCGACTGCCGCCGCAGATCCTCAGCGACTACTCCCCCTGTATGCTGGCTGCCCTACTTCGGATCTCCAAGCTGCCTAACTGCGCAGGAGCATGGCGGGTCCTCATGTTCCTGCCACGTCTCACGCTAAGACTTAGCCGGAGATCCAGCTCTAGATGGAAACTGCTGCGGGAACAGATGCATCTATTCCGATGTGGCCACTGGACCCAGCTGTACACTAACTACTTGGGGTCAATGCACCTGGCCGGACCACCTCAGCACCAACGTGACCCACTGGGAATCTGCTCACGTGCGGAGGGGTTGGTGAAACGGGGTAACCTGCGAAAGGCGTTAGCAGCCCTACAACCCTCGCCTTCAGCAACTGCGACAATTGCGACACTACAGCAGCTGGAATCGAAACACCCCCAGCCCCAAAATGACCTGCCCGAGTGGGTGCATTCCTACACCACACCCACGCATTTCTCAACCACTCTGGAACGCTTTTCCGACGTCCTTGGAGAATGCCCCAGGGGAATTGGGGCTGGCCCATCAGGGTCAACTTTCGAACACTACCGCGATCCAGCGCTAAGTAACATCGAGGTACTAGGGCACCTCCACTCCGCCGTTACGCATCTTCTCTCGACAAATCTTTCCACTGAAGTCGCAGCACTACTTGCCCCGTCCCGCCTTATAGCCTTCGCCAAACCAGGGGGGGGTTTACGTCCCATTGCGATTGGAGAGTCATTGCTTACGCTGGCGGCGAAGGTGGCGCTCTCAGATCTGCAAGGAGAAACGCGAAATTTTTTCCTACCTCAGCAATTTGGCGTGGCAGTCCCTGGAGGTGCAGAATTTGTCATCCATGCTGTCCGAGACCTCACCACGGTGCAGCCCTCCCCCTAGTACTCCAGCTCGACATTGAGAACGCGTTCAACTCAGTAGAGAGGAGCGCGTTCTTCAACGCACTCATCGGCTCCCCACTAGCTCCCCTAATCCCCTTCACACGCTCTTTCTACGCAGCATCTTCACCACTGCTGCTGGACCCATGCTTCAATTCCACGGCACTCACCAGCGGAAGGGGAGTCAGACAGGGGGATCCCCTCGGACCTCTGTTATTCGCAGCGTCTATCCAGCAGCACCTCAGGCACGTAGCAACGGAGCACCCCGAAGTCACGGTCCTCGCTTACGCGGACGACATAACCATGATTGGACCCGCGGCGGCGACGCTGGAAGCGCTCAGGGAGCTCACGCCGCTGCTGGCGCGGGACGGTCTCACCTACAACTTTAGGAAGTCGTCGGCGTGGTCCACCGTGCCGCTAGGAGGGGACGTACTCCCCGAGGGCCTTCCCCTCACCCGCGAGGGGGTGCGGGTGTTGGGAAGTCCAGTGGGGTCGCAGAGCTTCTGCTCTGATTTTGTCCGCACCACCCTGACAGACGCGGCAGCCCCCTTGGGCTCTCTGGCGTCCATCCACCCACATCACGCCCTCCTGCTACTGTCTCGTTGCATCAGCCGCAGAGTCGGCTACCTGCTGCGCACTACCCCAGCTGACGTCTTACCGCTCTCGGAATGGCACACATGGTGCGCCGAATTACTGAACACTGCCTTGACCGCCGCCAGCATTCAACCGCCACGCCGACAAGCCGAGTTCAACTTCCTTCTCCGACAGGCAACTCTCCCAGTAGCCCTAGGCGGACTGGGCCTTACGGACCCCACAACTGAAGCAGCACCGGCCTACCTGGCATCTACAACAGAGGCGCTGCGCCTGCTCCGCTCCCTGGACTTACCGGCAACCGCGCCGCTGGGGGCTGACAGCAACGCCCTGCAGCCGTCTGCAGCGCACTCCGTGACCATCCAGGACATGGAGGGGCGACTGCCACCGCTGGCGCTACAAAACCTACGGGAGGAGCAGCAAACCCCGTCCCAGGACCAGCTGCAGCGCGCCCTCTCCCAGGAAGTGCACGCGGCAAAGGCCGACGCCCTAAGAGAGGAGTCACGCGCAATACAGTCAGCCCCCGAGATGGGCCACACACTCCGCCTAGTCAGCCTGAGAGGAGAGGGAGCGGGAGCGTGGCTGCAGGCACTACCCTTGACCCCGGACCTCTGCTTCTCACCGGGACAGTTCCGAGCGGCCCTGGCCTTCCGCATGGGCATCCGACAGAATGTACCAACCATGTGCGAGTGCGGAGAACTCGTAGCCGACTGCAGCCTACCCAACCACTTACTCCGCTGCAGCACAGGCCCCGACAGGACGCGCACACACAACCAGCTGGCCTTCGCCATGGCTAAAATGGCGAGGGAGGCGCAGCTGGTGGTATACCTGGAGAATGCGATGTACTCACCTCCGGATGACCCGAAGAAGGCAGATGTGATTGTACAAGACCCGGACAGCGGAGAGACCTGGATCACAGACACCACGATCACTGACCCTGTGCTGCAGAACCGAGACCCCACGGCCCGCAAACCCCCAGGTTGGGCTGCAAGGGAGGCACAGAAGCGGAAGGAGAGGGACTACTACCGACACACTGAACACGTGGTGTTCTGCGCCCTGGCCGTCGAGACCTATGGGGCAAACGCGCCCCCCACGACGGCGTTCCTGAAACTGCTGGCCACAGCAGCAGCTAGGAACCGCTTCAGGGCCAGCCCCTTGGCGAAATCCGCCAAGAAGATGGCCTGCCACTTCAGCCAGCGCTGGTCAGTGGCCCTCCAGCGCTCCCAGGCGAACGCCCTGCACACCAAGGCCAGGGCTGGGATTGAGGCAGCACACCCCCAGATGGCAGCGGACCCCTGGCCGCTGCACCTGGGGGACATCCTCCACACGCTGGAGGGCTAGAGGGTCACTCAGGGGGGAGGGGAGGGGAAGAAGGGTGAGTTGATGGGCTTATGGGATTGAGGTTATCATGGATAGAACTGCATGTCTGTACCCCTGCTGAATTAATACAACGGACCATTCGAGGAGGGGGAGCGAGGGAGGGGGAGCGAGGGAGGGAGAGAGAGAGGGGAGAGAGAGGGAGGAAGGGATCGAGGGAGGGAGGGAGGGAGAGAGAGAGAGAGAGAGAGAGAGAGAGAGAGAGAGAGAGAGAGAGAGAGAGAGATGGAGAGCAGCAGATGGAGTGAGGATTGCTGATGTGCCCTAATGCCCGAATGCCGTGAAGCTTGAGCATGGAAGGCGATGGCATGCGAAACTCACAGCAGGGATGGCAAACTTGGAGGGCGGGTCGTCCATGACGGTAGTGTTCTCCTCCACCGCTATGAACAGCGGCTGCCATGCACCAAGGGGCGCCCACAGGCACGTGGAGGGATGGGCAAAGAGGGGCGCAGGGAATGCAGGTACAACGATGAGAATTGAGGTAGATACAGCAGAGCAAGTGCAGCTGTTGCTGTGAGCCCAGAGCATTGACAGCAGCACAGCATGGCAGGGTGCAGCACTGACCGGGCCGCCTGGTCGGTGAGCGAGGGCCTGGGCGGCAGGGCCCCCGAAGGCATCGACGGGCAGCACCACACAGTCCACGTCCTCCGCCCACACCACCCCTCCACCTCCCCCGCTGCTGCTCATGCTCATGCTCATGCTCATGCTCGTGCCGCTGCTGCTGCTGCCAGCATCTCCGCTGTAGTCCCATGCGCCCCCAATGATGGTGGGAATGCTGCTCGCATTCGCTGCCCCCTCCTGCCCCTCTTGCCCCTCGCCTGCCCCCATGCGCTCAGCTGCGGTGCCGGGAGGGGCGTGGCGGGTGACGAGGCGGGGCGCGCGCGAGAGGCCAGCCAGCACACATGGCAGGAACGTGTGACCAATCTGAGGGGCACGTGTGCGTGGGGGAGGGGAGGACGAGGCAGCATCAGGTGGGGCCGGAAGCAAGTGACCTGCAGTGGGCAGTGAGCAGCACGGGTCAGCGCTCACCTCTTCAGCGGCGGAGCGCGGGGCGATGGAGGGGAGGAGGGGCAGGGGGGCGAGGGCGGGGGCGTGGGCGGCAGGGAGTTGGAAGCGGCGGACAACGAGGTGGGAGATGACGGCCTCCACGCCCGCCAGCACGTCCACGCCGCTCCCCTCGCGGTACTGCTGCAGCACCTCCTCTGCATCGTCAGGGAAGCGCGCCACCACGCCCACCGCGTCCACCCCACGGCCACCTGTAGCAGGGGCTGCTGCGGGCGAGAGGGCGTGCGCGTGGGAGGGCGGGTGTGCGGCGAGGGGCGCGTCCAGCAGCGTCTGCACGGCGCGCAGCAGGGAGTCCGCCTCGTCGATGCGCCCCGTGGCTGCTCCTGTGGCGCCGTCCACCCACTTGTGCACCTGCTTCCCGCCCCCCACACACGCCCACGGGGACATGGGCTTGCTGAGACGCACGCAGGCACACGCATGCTGTGAGAGAGGCAGGAAGTGCGAGAATGAGTGACGGGCATGTGAAGGAGCAGACGGGCGCAGGTCACCTTGAGGGGGCGGTCGGTGACGGTGTACCTTGAGGGGGCGGTCGGTGACGGTGTACCTTGAGGGGGCGGTCGGTGACGGTGTACCTTGAGGGGGCGGTCGGTGACGGTGTACCTTGAGGGGGCGGTCGGTGACGGTGTACCTTGAGGGGGCGGTCGGTGACGGTGTACCTTGAGGGGGCGGTCGGTGACGGTGTACCTTGAGGGGGCGGTCGGTGACGGTGTACCTTGAGGGGGCGGTCGGTGACGGTGTACCTTGAGGGGGCGGTCGGTGACGGTGTACCCCACTATGTCAATCCCCAGTGTTGCCCTCGCTGCGTCCGCCACCTGCAGGGGCGGGGGGAGTGCGGGGCGAGGGGGGTGTGTTGCGGGGAGCATGGTGAGGGCACATGAAGGCAAAAGCAACCGGGGGTAAGGGCAAGGCGGAGCGGGGCAGCAGCGAGGCAGCTGACGAAGAGACCAGAAAGCCACACAGGGGCAATGTCGCAGGAGCCACTGCATGCAGCACCATCCCATCCCATCCCATCCCAGTGCCATGGCGGCGGCATGGCGGCGGCACCTGCAGGTGGCGCTGGAGGAGGTCGTCCTCGATGGCGCGGTCGAACACCAGCCCCACGCGGTTGCTGTGCACGGGCTGCAGCCCCCACTCCCCGCGCGCGAAGCGGTCGAGCGCGTGGCCCTCGACGTAGAGCGCGCGCGGCAGCGGCCAGTAGAGCATGGCGCCGTTGAGCACGTTGGGGTGCGCGATCAGACACTCCGCCACGCTGCTGAACGCGCGCGCCACCGGCAGCGCGTCCCCCGCGAAACCCCCGATCTCCGCGCCCACGCCCGTGGGCACTATCAGCACCGCCACGTAGGGGCGCTGCGCGGGGGAAGACTGCGCGGAAACAGGGGGGTTAAGCCGGGGACGGGGCAGAGGTGAGTGGAAAGATAAGACGGGCTGCGAGGGCTAGTGGATGCGAGGGGCGCTGCATCTCACCACGCTGCATCTCACCACGCTGCATCTCACTACGCTGCATCTCACCACGCTGCATCGTGGTCCGTACTGTTGGCGTAATTGCGGCTCATTCGTGTCACGTGGTACCGCCAGCGCCCTGCTCCGCCACTCCCCATCCCCTCGTAATCCCTCCAATCCGCCCATGCGGGCGATCTGCGGAGACAGAGGCGGCGCATTGTGGGAGCGCGAGTGCGCGAAGGAGCAGCTTGCTCGACGCGCGAGTGTGCTTGCGGCGGGGCCATTTTTGTCGCTGGCGGAAAGGGAAGGTGGGCAGTGCGCGTTACAGGCGGGAGGCACTGCGAGAGGGTTCATGACGTGCGAGTGTGGCTGGATGGATAGTGTCGCCGCGCTTTCAGGGCAAGTGGGCCGCTGGCAACACTGATGCTACGCAGCTATATGTCTGTCGTCAACACTCAAAATTGCTCATTTATGAATTCATGCCCCCCCTCGAATTTCCTCCCAAAAAGTGCAAGAGGGTCGGGGTTTAGGAACTCGTTTTACGCCTCTTCGAATTCGGTAAGTAGCATGTATGCCAAACTTCATTTCCGTAAAACTGAAACCACTCAAGTAGAACCAGGCTCCCCTCGATAGTGACGACAGCCCGTGCGATTGAGTCAACCCCCGCGACTGTGCTCTCCGATTCAGCCACACCTTCTCGAACCTCGATTTTCCGAGCCGTCGGCCCACAATGATGATCCCAAGGTTGGTGGCCGTGCTTCTCCCTAGAACTCGTCCCGCACAATTCATGGTGGACACTGCGTCCACTTTTGACCCATTCGAGTTTCTGCTCACTGACCATTTCAATCAAGAATAATTAAGATAATGTATGCTGCGGAGGTAGAATCGTTGGCGTAAATTAGGCGTGAATTAGGATCGTCGCTTGGCTCTCGATCACGAGTTAACCACCATGTTTTGGGATTGTCGCACGGTTGCGAACTCTCAAGCGCATTTCAATTGAGCACGAGGAGTGGAGGCGCGGTGGGGGTGGACAGGAACAAGAGGCAGGCAAGGACAGGAGTAGGCCGCGACGAGCTGCTTGCATGTGTGCGCTGGTGTGGTCGCGCTGGCGTGCACACCGTATCGGAGACACTTGTAACGAGGCATCGTCCAGAAGGGACCATCAAAGGCCGCCATGAACTACACCGGCATCCTCGCCGCGCTTTTCTACGGTAGGCATCAGGTCACCTCCAAGGTCTCGTCAGGGGTGCGTCAAGCAGTACGATACGGGATCTTCGGTCCGTTAAGTAAAAATCACTCATTGCTGCTCCACGTGCCCCCATCGCCTTTCGTGAATCACACTTTGTAGTTTCCTGGTCGCAATTTCTTGTAGCGAGCACGGGATTCCAGTCATTCTCGCAACCATCATTGTCGTAATCCACCCAGTGATGTGTTTTACTCCAACACTTCCCACCACCCCCTCCGCGTTTCCCCTCCTCCTCCCCCCGGGTGGGGCACGGCAGGGGTGATGTCGGTGGCGTCGGTGTTCATAAACAAGGCGCTGTTCCACGTGTACCGCTTCAAGTTCCCCTACACGCTCGTCTTCTTCCAGACGCTCTTCACTCTCGCGCTGCTCGCCGCCATGCGCCAGCTGCGCCTCATCCGCGTCACGCCCTTCCACCTGCACGTCCTCCGCCGCGTAAGTGTGTGCGGGAATGAGGACTTCTGGTGACTGGTCAGGGCCTATGAGTGAGTGTGTGGGGGAATGAGTGGTGTGTGAGCAGCAACTGGTGTGGCAACTGGCACGCCAGCCCTTTCCTTGTCTCCTCCCATTCCGTCTCCTCTTCGCCCATAGTCGCATCAGCCCCACCAACGTCCCTCTGTCCCTCTGTCTTGGCGTCCTCCCTCCCTCCATCCATGCCGCCAGGTATCGCTGCTGTCATTTGCCTTCCTGCTGAAGCTCCTCTTGGACATGGCGGCTCTCTCCCGAGTGAACATCCCCATGTACGGCGTCCTCAAGTCCGCCACCACGCCCTTCGTGCTGCTCCTCGACTTCCTCCTGCGCGCCAAGCGCGCCTCACCGCGCATACAGCTGGCCGTCTACACCACCGCGCTGGGGGGCGTGGTGGCGGGCACGGGCGACCTCACGTTCGACCTGCCGGGGTACGTGCTGGCGCTGTCGTCTGCGCTGGCGACGGCAGCATACGTGGTGATAGTGGGGAAGCTGGGCGAGGAGCTGCAGCTGGACTCGTTCACGCTGCTGCTGTACAACAACTGTTGGTCGCTGCCCTTCGCCTTCCTCCTCGTCGCTGCCAACGGCGAGCTGCCTGCTGTGCAGCGAGTGCTGCAGTCACGGGATGCTGTGTTCCTTGTGTGCTTCGCGCTGTCCTGCGCCTCTGCTTTCATACTCAACCTCGCCACCTACCTCTGCACACTCGTTAACGACAGCCTCACTACCAGCATTGTTGGTGGGTCCTCCTCCGATTACCTTCTCTCCCCCACACTGCCAATCTATGCCTTCCCCAGCCTTACCACTCCTCTCGGTCTGTTGTGCAGAGCTCTTCCCGCTCGCTTGCTTTCCTGGTTCCATTCGTCCATCTCTGTGTCCCCCCCCCCCTCTTCCCCACAGGCCGCACCAAGTCCATTTTGCAGGGCTTCGGAGGGCTCTTTGCATTCGGGGATGTGCTGGTCAGTTGCTCTCACTCTCCCCAATACTCTCCGTTTTTACTGAACAGCTTCTGCTGTGTCTGCCTAGAACAGTTATTAAAACCCGCGGGCCAAGAAGTTCAACCTTAGGAAGGTTGGTTGGGGCGAGCAATGCAATTGGCCAAGATTTTGGGTGCCAGGTTCACAGTCAACCGTGGTTAGGAAGCTTGAACCAATTTGGGCTTTCTTGGCCCTCGGGTTTTAATCTGCTTTCATTGTGCTGCTACTTGAGTGCAGGTTAGCCCCACCAATCTCATAGGCCTGATAGTGAACTCAGGAGGAGTGGGGTGGTACGCGTATGAGAAGTACGTGGAGGCGAGGGCCAAACAGAAGGGAGCGTACACACTGTTGGCGGAGCACCACCGTCACGATGCCGACAGCAGAACAACCATTGCCAGAGATGGCTCACAGGTGGGTTGGCGCATGTAGCCATAGGGTCCATTTGTGGAGCGAATGGGTGTATGGATGGGGAGTTTGGGTTCGTACTGATGTGTGGTTGGCGTTTGTGTCCAGTCGTTCATACAGGAGTATCTGTTGCACGTGTGTTCATGCTCCTTCATTGTGCACACATGGTGCACATGTTGCTTGTAACTGAACAAATCGTACAAATATTCCGTAAACTCTTTGTGTGGATGTGTGCATGGGTTCTCTGTGCGTGTGTGTGGGGGGGAGGGGGGGAGAGGGCGTGTAAGCGGCGTGGGTGTGTGTGGTTGTTGTGGGCATGCGATATTTCTGGGGCGGTCATTGCTTAATGCATACCCACTGTGGTTTTGTACTTACAGGTGACCATTGTTTTTGATGACCATAAAAAGGAAGACTTACCTGAGACACTGAATGGCAGTACTAGATCTCAAGATTCTTAACGTTGCTAGGCCACGTTTTGGAGATCATGGCCTGGGAGTGGGCACAATATTGATTCGCGGGAAATTGCACTCTGGATGAAAATGTAAGGTGGTTCAAGATGTGTAATGCTATTATGGAAACATCTTACTAAAACTCATGGTTGATGATTAGAATAGTCTCTCCAAATCCTGCTTATAATGTACTCTAGCAAATCCACGTGGACAGATATGGACTTCCTGTACCGCATATCCTACAACAATGTTCCCCCCACCCCCAGCTGTGCGAAAAAACCATTTCGCCGGTTGGGTGGATTCGCTCCCCGCAACTGGTTGACTGATCTCTGGTGGATCTTTTCAAGGTGCCCGCACGAACTGCTGCTGACAATGAGGCGTTTGCCCGCACGGTACTGGTCGATGTGCAAGTGACTGGATGAAGATCTTTCAATGTGGCTGATCGGACCGTGCGAACCTGGCCATGTCAGATCGTCACGCTTCTTTGCATTCCCATGAGTTCCGGCTACGTGGCGGTTCCGGCTCACACATGTGCTCTTTTGGCGCGGCAATGTGTCAGCCTGATCCAGTCGAGGAAGTGAACATATTTGTTTCGACCTTGTTCTAACTTCATTACTCTAATCTCTCTTCTCTCTGTGTCCCTGTCCTCCACCATGGCACACGCAGTGATTGTTGCTCAAATGGCCGAGTGTGCCGCCGTTCCGCTCGGTGTTCGCGCTCAGTCTCACTCCGTGGTTCGACGACTGAATCTGGCTAGCTCTCTGTCGGTCAAGCGTACCAGGGTTCTTCCATCGTCTAAATCTTTTGGTGTGTCTTTCACAGCTTTCTCAAGGCCCGAGGTCGTCAAGACCGAGTCCGCCTCTCGGCTGAAAATTGTCGCACAAGCCCAGGCAGGTGCTGGCGCTGGTTCCTCTCCGGAGCCCAAGGCAGTGTCAACGACTGAGGCAGAGGACGCGGCTTTCAAGCTTAAGATTGGTGGATATTTTGCACTGTGGTGGACGCTGAACGTTGTTTTCAACATCTACAACAAGAAAGTGCTCAACGCCTTCCCCTTTCCATGGCTATGCTCTACTCTCGCCCTTGCTGCTGGAGTCACGATCATGTTGCTCTCCTGGGCGACGCGTCTGGTGGAATTCCCCGACACAGATCTGGACTTCTGGAAGACATTGTTCCCTGTCAGTATTTCATCCTACCTTAGATATCCCTCTTTATCGCTTCCTTCATTATGCCGTTCGCTAAATATCGCCATTGCTTGAAGCACACTCTCATCCTCTTGTGGTCTGATTCACCTCATCAGGTCGCCGTTGCCCACACAATTGGTCACGTAGCTGCAACCGTGAGCATGTCCAAGGTCGCTGTTTCCTTTACTCATATCATTAAGAGCTCAGAGCCTGCCTTCAGCGTTGTCGTCCAGAGCCTGATGGGCGAGCATTTTGCGCTTCCTGTCTACTTGTCGTTGCTCCCGATCATTTTTGGTTGTGGGCTCGCAGCTCTTACCGAGCTAAACTTCAACATGGGAGGTGAGTTTAATATCTTTTATCGCCAGTAGCAATCTCTTGCAGGCCAAGTCTGAGTGTCCTTGTTTTGTGTGAGCAGGCTTTATGGGTGCCATGATCTCAAATCTGGCATTCGTTTTCCGGAACATTTTTTCGAAGAAGGGAATGAGCTCTGGCAAGAAGGTCGGAGGTCTCAACTACTACGCCTGCCTGTCAATCATGTCTCTCATCATCCTCATTCCGTTCGCCATCTGGCAAGAGGGCTTTCCGATGTGGACTGCCGGGTGGCAGACTTCTATCGCGGAGGTTGGGCCAAGAATTGGGTGGTAAGTGCTGAGCTAATCAATAATTCCAAACTGAAATAAAAGCTGTACGCCAAGTGAACTGAACCTCACGTATCTTGGATTACAGGTGGATTGCGGCTCAGAGCGTTTTCTATCACCTGTACAATCAAGTGTCCTACATGTCGCTGGATCAGATCTCACCGTTGACATTCAGCATTGGAAACACGATGAAGCGTGTGTCGGTCATTGTAGCGTCCATCATCATCTTCAGAACTCCAGTCCGATTGATCAATGGCGTTGGAGCGGCAATTGCCATTCTCGGAACGTTCCTGTACTCTCAGGTGAGCCTACTGCGGCTTGGTGATTTGTTTGTTGACTTTTGGCTACGTGCATGGAATTCTAAAAGGTTTTGTTCTCATGGCGATTTCAGGCGATTGAGGCCCAGAAGAAGGCAGCAAAGGCCAAGGCCGCACCTGCATCTTAGTTTTGCTGTTGATCTGTGGGATGTGCAACGACTTCGCCCGTTGATGTACATGCCAGCAGGATGATTTTGTTTGCGCCTTGTTTCCAATCCAATATATCCAATACGTACCTAGTACATTAGTATTTGTAGCAGTGTTGTTCATCTTGCACGACTGATTAGGTAGTTCTGTTGTCGGTGATTGATCTTACATGAATAATTCGTTTGTCCTGTTGTGGGTAGTTTTCCAGCCATAGTAAAGACGATCTAGCGTTATTGAAGTGCCAGCTAGTAATCACTTGCTCCAAGGAGCAGACAAAATGATACTTCATCCAGTACCACTCCAAAATTGTGTGCACAAAGCAATGATTTCCAAGCTGCCAAGTTTACGCCCTCTGAACTACCCCTGCATTCAGTATAGTCTTTACATACCACCTTAATGTCCACAGTGTCAGCAGGAGACATTTGGATGTATGACTCCAGCCTGTTTGACTCACCATCTGCACAGAAACAAATTGTCAGCTGCCAATTTTGCTTGAATAGGGACATACTCAGTGTGACTGAACTACAATGCTGACCTTGAGAACGAATGCATGGGTACTTTGGAGGGCTGGCTAGCCACGTGTTTGTGATAGTGTCACGCATGTGAGACCGATCAGATGCGAAGAAACTGAAATAGTTGGAAGCACAAACTACTCTGTAAAACCTGCACACACCTCCAGTCAAGGTGAAAACAACAAGATCAGGTACCCAAGGCTGAGCAATGAGCATTGAGGCATCAGGTATGAGTAGTAGGAACGAAGGTGGCACAAGTCAAGCACACAGCCAACCTTTGATAAGTATCTTGAAGAGGAAGGAGGGAACTTCTCCCGGCCCACAGCGCCCGCTGCACATACTCCGTTGCTAGACTTGGAAAAGCCAATACCGTGTCAAGGTCCCACACATACCACTTGCGACACCTACTCCCCTCGGATCCTGCCCTGTCACCACCTCCCGCTCCAGTGATGTGCTTCACATGGATAGCGATGACATGGTAGTCCCAAACCACCAAACCCTGCTCCTCCCCACCACCCCCCCCTTCGCTCCCACTATTATCATCAGCACGACACATGCCGGCCTTCTGACACCACATGGGAACCTGCAGGCGGATGGCGCAGGAGAGCGGGTGAGCGGATTCGGTAGTTATTCACCAACAGAAAGGGAACAGAGTGAAGGGACATACGAAAGAGAAATGAAGTGGATGAAATGGAAGTATTATGATCCCAGGTGAACCGTGTACCTTGCGGTCAGGATTGGAAATGAAGACGACGGCCAAATCATCCACGTGAGCGACGCCTCGTGAAACCAGCGAACGACAAAGCAAATAAGCGTTTTCCTCACTGCAATGAATGGCAGGCCAGATAAGGGTGGGGTGGTTGGCACATTAGAGCGATCCATGTGGATAACCACACATGCAGAAGCTTGGATGGCAGCTTCCGCTTCTCGCACCAGTAACAAGAAGTGTAAGTGAAGTCAGATCGACGAGGCATGGACACGGCTTCTCCGTCTACCGAACACGGCGACTCTTGCTCCCCGTGCTGAACAGCAGACTCCATGGGCACCGTACCATTTATTTTTATTCCCGCTATTAATGAACCCTTAACTGTTTGGAGTGGAGAAGAGTAGAGGTAGACGAATCTGAAATTCCGTAACTCGCGGCAGCCTGAATGCTAGATGACATGACTACGAAACCTGAATGACTGTGATGGTTTCTTGCCTTGGCAAGAAATGGATGTGATGTGGTGTGCATTCTAGAGCGGTTCTGTATGGTGAAGGTCTGTAACGCCGAGAGTCAGGAGAAAAGGTGAGCATGCAATTTTGATTGGTGAAGGCCACGCCTATAGTCACAACCGATGTGCCAGAGTGAGCGAGGCGTGAGTTGGCGACAATGGTGCGCACTTTTGCGATGACGCATCGCCCGTGCGAACTTGCTGTTTCTGACAACCCCTCGCATCAGCTTGGTGATGCCATTCTGGGCCCTGCATACAAGCACACTCGGACCCACCAAGGTGAATGGTAAGGTTGAGAAGAGTTCAGGGCATCCCACAAGTGGTACTATCTGGAACACTATCCCCACCCCAACACAAACATGAGTGCTTTGAAGCTCAAACATTCCTGGTCGCCTGAAACGCCCGCTGAGCCAGGAAACTTTTGAAATTGAAGTTATAGACGAGGGAGGGTAAATGGTAAGGAGAAAGAAAGAAAACACCTAGAAAGAAAACGTAAGATCAAAGTAAAACCAAGTTGAAAAGCAAAAACAAGTTGAAAGGAAATCTTGAAGTATGGAGTAATTAAGAATGAAGAAAGTTTTGAAGGAGAAGATAGATAGACTTGATAGGGATAAAAGGGACCAAACAAGATTGGCTTAAAAGAAAGTATTGAAGAAAAGGTAAAGGGCTTGAAAGATGCTTGAAAGGAACTTGTAACGAACTTGAGAATAAGAACTTGATTATTATGGAAAGAGCTTGAATATAAAACAACTTGATAATAGCAAATGAACTTTGATGTAAAAGAAACTTGGTGAAAAATGAGAGGAAGGGATAACCACTTACTTGAAAAAAGTTCTTACTATTATGTTGTAGAAGTTGATCTTCACTTCAAGCTTAAATGTTGTCTTAGTTGTTAATGAAGAACCTCAAAGCTTGAATGTTGAGAAGTTGATCTTGAATGTTGACTTGTAGATAATGTTTGTTGAATGAAGAGAAACCTCCAAGCTTGGATGTTGAGGTTGGAGCTTGGACCTTGGGTAGAAGAATACACCAATCTTGCTTGAAGCTTTAAAGTACATTAATCAAAGGGAGGTACATGGTAGGATCTTGAGATCAACTATCCTTGATGATCTAGAAGTAAAACTATGTGGCACAAACTTCTCTAGAATTGGAGCATATGGCTATGAGCTTGGGTTGGGAGAGGTTGGTGGTGGTGATGAAGCCTTAGGAGTTGGAGCATAAGGAGGAGGACTTGAGGTTGGCCTTGAGGGAGTTTGAAGAACTTGTTGAGAGTTTGGGTATGAAGTAGCATTGAAGAATATTTTTTTGAAGAAATGAAGAGGACCCTTTTGTATTTGGTGGAGCTTGATGTTGGATGAAGGATGAGGAAAGGATGAATGGTTGTGATTGGTTGAGTTGGATAAGATGGGGGTGATGAATGTGGCCTTGAAGTGAAGGCTTGGTGAAGAGAATGAATGTGGCCTTGAAGTTAAGGCTTGGTGAATGGGATGTATTTGGCTTTGATTTTAAGGCTTGGTGAGTGGAATGAATGTGGCTTGGATTGGAAGGCTTGGTATGGAATCTTTTGTTTGATTGGTGGATAATGGGATGAGAAAGATGATGAGGATAGGAGGAGAGTTGAGGTGGAGGATTGATAGGTTTTGATTGGTAGGTTTTTGCTGTCTGGAGATAGGAAGGGTGTGGTGGCGAGTGGGCATTTTTGCAAGATGCCTTTTGCATATTCGGATTTTGGCTGACGGGGAAATTGCGGCGAAAAATTTCGCCACGTGAAATATTTCCCGCCACCCTGGTGCCACGCGAGCAGCAGCCACAGTTCACTGCAACACCCCCCCGCACTGCTGACCCTCAGAGCGAGACGAAGAAGGAGCGGAAGGGACAGCAGTGGAGAAGGACTCAAGAGACTCGAGCGGCACCAATCCAACACGGTGGCGTCCAAGGACGAATAGGTGCCGTGGAAGTATCTTAGTCAGAAAATCAGCAGCCTGGTCCGTGGTGCTGCAGTAGACCGGTGTCACAACCTTGTTCTTAATCAGCTCCCGAATGTAGTGATACTGGGTATCAATATGCTTGGTGCGTCCATGATAGACCGGGTTCTTGCTCAAGGCGATTGCCGACGTGTTGTCAATGTGGAGAACGGTCGGCTCAAGCTGGGGAAGACCCAACTCCATCAGCAACCCTCGCAACCACACAGCCTCTCTTGCTCCTTGCGTCACAGCCATGTACTCCGCTTCCGTTGAAGATAGTGCCACACAGCCTTGCTTCTTCGATTGCCAAGAAATCGCTGCTCCCGCCATCACAAACATGTAGCCTCCCGTGGATTTACGCTTTGAAAATGGACCTGCCCAATCCGCATCCGTAAAGCCATGCAAGACACTACCATGCTCATGTCCATGAAAGAGGAGACCAAATGATTTAGAGCCGGAGAGATAGCGCAGGACACGCTTTGCAGCGTTCAAGTGCTGAGTAGATGGTGAGGAAAGGAATTGAGAAAGCATGCCCACAGCTTGAGAGAGATCGGGGCGGGTGCAGACGGATGCGTACATGAGGCTACCGACAATGCTCTGGTAAAGATTAATGTCGAGGGGGGAAAGGAGTGATGAGGGAGGTTTGGTGGAAGAAAAAATGAAAGAAGAGGATGAAGGCGCAAGAGCCTCGTGAAACTCGTCCCAGTCAGAAAGGGGTGCAGACTGAGAGGGCTGAAGGTCAGAAGTGGAAGGAGAAGAATGCTGGAAGTTAGAAGGGAGAGGTGTAGATGCAGGATTGCAGGTGAGAAGGCCGAAGCGAGAGAGGACCTTGTGAATGTATCGCTCTTGTGAAAGAAATAGAGAGCGAGAAGGACGGTCACGAATGATGTTCATGCCAAGGTAATATGATGGCTCACCCATGTCTGTCATGACAAACTCCTTGGTGAGCATACCTTTGATGTGGGTGAGAAGGGAGAGAGAACCTGACACCATGAGGATGTCATCCACATACACGATCAACCACAGTACCTCATGCACCTCCGTGTGCAGGATGTAGAGTGCAGGGCCATACTCAGACTGGGTGAAACCTTGTGCCAGCAGGGCAGACTCCAATGCGTGATACCAAACCCGTGGAGCTTGCTTCAGGCCATACAGGGACTTGTGTAGCCTGCAGACTCTCTTAGTACCATCATGATACCCATCAGGTTGAGCCATGTAGATTTCTTCCTCTAAAATGCCGTAAAGAAAGGCGTTGGAGACGTCCAGCTGGATGATGTAGAGATCCATTCGT